AGATATGAATATGTAAAAAAGAATATGTAAAGGAGAACAGTTAGAGTTATTTTTTGGTTTACATTTCTATTATGAAAATTATCACTTCATTAAATATTTAAAGCTGTGGATGTTATTTGTAGGAAATAGTTTAGGCAGTGTAGCTAATGGTGTTAACTGATATGCAAATACACGTCAGACATACACATTTTGCTTTGCATCTGTTCTTATTACTGTTGGTTTGCCCATTTCCATGAGCATCCTCTTTCTCACTAAAGAACAAACTGTTACGGGAGCACTCATGTGTCCTCAGCACTTATATTTTTGCACAGGCAGAATCATGCTAGTGGATTATTTTAATACTTCTTCCACATTCTGAATCCACAGGCTATTTCTTCTTCCTAAATCTTAGATAGCTATTGTGGCATTGTTTCCTCTACCTTTACCAGTATCATGTTGCTCTCTATTTTACTGTGACATGCTTCCAGTTGAGTTCTACAAGCACATATATGGTAATTAGACTAGTCAGACAGAGAAAGAGAAGTATCACATGTTCTCACTTATTTGTGGGAGGTAAAAAATAAATAAATAAATAAATACACAAACAACCTGTGTGTGGGGGGAGAAGACACAACAATTACAATAGAAAGAGAAGTATCACATGTTCTCACTTATTTGTGGGAGGTAAAAAATAAATAAATAAATACACAAACAACCTGTGTGTGGGGGGAGAAGACACAACAATTACAATTCCTTCAAGTTGATATGACAAGTGAACAGAAAGGACATTGTTGAGAGGGAGGGGAGAGGGGGGAGGGAGGGAGGCTTGGGTAATGGGCCACAATAATCAACACATTGTATATAGACAAAATAAAGTAAAAAAATTTTAAAAACCCTGCTTTTTAAAAGTATAGTGTGTCTCCTTGAGTACAGGAACCAAAACTTTATTATTTTCTTAGTAATGTTTCATAATAGTCATGTTCCAAGCTAAGAAAAGGTTTTTATACATGTGTACAAACTGTCAGTTACATCCTTCTTGATCCTTACTATCTTTACCCGAGGCAATTGCTTTTCTTCTACCCATTCTGATTCCATAAAACTCCAAAGAGCACAGCCCCCCTAATGAGTTTATCTGGGAGTAGGGAGACTATCTCTTCCACCCATCCTCACACCCACAGCTGCACTGAACTATGTGTTTCCTTTATTCCTGTTTCTACCTTCTCATAGCTCTGTTTATTCCAGCTCAAGCAATGTAATGCTTTAGATATACACAGATTTTCTCAACACTTTTCCAACCTTCCCTTCTTGTTTTTTGAACATTTTCTTAATTATCTGGGGGGAAAGGGATCTTTCACTCCCTAGATTTATGACAATCATGAACCAAAGGGAAGTCAAAAAGTGTGCTGAATAGCATAAGGAATAGCTTGTTTGAACATAAGGAATATGTTTTAAAACTAAAATAGCCTTAGCTTTAGGGTTAAGTAATGATAAAGCCTTTAAATATACCCCAGCATTTCTACACAAACTTCTCCTTCTCTTTTCTTAAAATGCCCTCAAACATCAGCATAAAAACAAATTCTCAAATAAAGTTCCCATTGATATCTTAATAAAGCTGTTAAAATAATAAATAAATTCCTATTAAACTGACACTGTACTATGCTAATTATGTCAGGTGATTAGTGAGATCCCAGAATTTGTGTCCTAGTTTTATCACTTAGTCTTGGGACACTGGGAAACACATTTAAGCTTTCAGAGTCCTTTGTCCTTCATATGCAAAAGGCTGGCTGTAGCATGGGTTCAATAGAAGTTAGCTATGACTAGTAATAATAATATTTGTAAATAAAGGATGGCACCTGTCCTTTTAATTTCAAAAGCTTAATATGAAAATTAAAGATATACTGGGTAGAAGTGGCATAAACTAAATGCATTGTACAAATATGAAGTACTATTGTTTTTACGTGCAGGGTAAAATAGTCTTTAGTGGGTTGACCCTTGCTAATGCATTTTTCCTCTACATAATAGGGGCATCTTCCTAATACACATAATTTATCTTGTAATTCAGCTACTTATTACCTGCTAATCTCTCTTCACCAATGCAATAGTACACATCCCAACTCCTTGACTAATTGCCCTGTGATGTAATCTTGCATGAAATAATTGAAGCTTCTTAAAGAAATGCCACACATCTTCAACTTATAGACCTTTGTTGCTGCTGATTCCTTGTGCTTGCATTCTTTTTGCCACTTTGTAAATCCTGATAAATCCTATTTATTCTTCAATTCTCACTTTAAATGTCACTTCTACTTGTAAAACTTTTCTGCAGTTGGTTGTGCATTTCAAATTTACCTCTATTCATACCTTTTATAGCACTGCATCATAATCATTAATATAGTTCTGTAACTGTCCCACCACATACACTGTAAGTCAAGGCCAATTTCTTATTATATGATTTCAATCCAAAAGCATAGCAGTATCTGTTAAGTAGAGACCTTATGGTCAAACATATTGACTAAGAGTACAGGCTGTGGAATCGTACAGACTTGTACTCAAATATTGGCTCCATCACTTCTTTGTGTATCTCTTGAGCTGTTCACTTAACCTTTCTAAGACTTACATTTCTATAAGGAAATATCCTTATAGATAAAATGGGAATAATGATAGAGAAGGTGTTGTGCTACTTAGTATCTTGGACTCAGTGCACAGTAGATATTAGCTATTTCATTGATGAAGGTGATGACAATAATGATGATGAAGGTGCTCAATAAATATTTTTCAATAAAAAGATGATTAAATAAAATAAATTCACTACTATTAAAACATTTTTATGGGACCATGTAATCTAAGTTCTAAATGACTGTTCAAAACTAGTTATTGTTGTACATTTAATGAGGTTGGGTTATTACTGTAACATTTATTTGGTGCCTCTGAGACAGCCAAATTTTATGATGATGATGTTGATGGTGATGGTGATGATACCAAAAAGACAACAACTTCTGTTATGAAAGAAGTAGACATCCTTTACAGCCAAACTCCTATCCAGTCATTTCTTCCTGACCTGATACTACCCTTTAAAAAATATAGGATAAGTGGGGAATCTCTTTACAGTTAAAAAAAAAAAAAAACCCAACAGACAAGGCATTGAATTCAAAAACACAACCTTAACTCTTCAGCAGTTGAGAATACAATGTTTTAAGTTTAATTCTAAAGAACATATTAAGTACACCTACTGAAAAAAATATCAAAAACCTGTCAGTGAGTTAATAAAAGATGAAAAAAGATGAAAACCACTGTTTGAACAGTTTCAAGAAGATATTACAAACCTCAGATAATAAATATTAAAACAAGTGAATATGTAACTTTCTTTAAATAGAAAGGAGATAAGATGAATTTAAAAAGAAAAAACAAATCCCATTACAAATTGTGTTCTGTGTGAAAAGAAATTGCAGGCCAGAAGGTCTTGAAGTATTTTTTTTTGATGGAAAACATGTTCTGTTTTTTAGCTGGCTATTGACTCGGGCAGCAGGGGAAGAAAAAGCTGTATTGGATAATAGAAGATATGTTTTTAAAAGAAATCATTAAAAACATCATTATAAGCTGGTTGGTTGCTGAAGGTCCAAACTGGAAAGTTATTGATGTTACTAATGGTAATCATGACAGCTGAGAAGTATCTGAATAACACAAAGGCAATGATCCTTATGAAGTGCCATGGTACAATTGGTAATGATTATTGGAAAAGCACACTAATATATGTGATGTAATGTTCTGAAGGTCATTGAACTATCAACTTGCCATAATGCCATTCAATTAAATACACAATAAAAATCTAAGATTATTTATGGAAAGAATTTTGCAGTGCTTGTAGAATAGCATATTACACATTCTGGCTGTATGTACAAGCAGAAACGTCTGATCGAATGCACCATTAAACAACTATAGCTTTGCTGTACATTTTTTAAACATTAAACTAATTACGAGGAGGTTTGGTTTTACTATATACTGCATATTTAATCTTTTTAAAGAGGCTTTCAAGTTGAATCATGAGATACAACTTGTTTCTGCTATAAGAAAACACATGCAATATTAACCATGTAAAATATCCTGGCTTAATTAGAAAAAGTTTGTGCTATCTTAAATATATTTAGGAATATAATACCACACAGCTCTAATTTGAACCTGTCATTAAATTATAGTTTAATACAAATTTATATGACTTGGAACTTTTTTCTCTCTCTCTTTCTGCCTCCTACACTGAATGTTGCTCTATCAACCCAGTTAAAACTACCCTGAAAATTAAAGAGAGAACAACAAGAGATTGAGTGAGATTTGAGGTGGGGGAAGTAGTGGTGGTAGTGGTGGAGACAACAGACAAGAAATCACTTAAATTCGATTACTAGGTAGCGTTCTGTTTGTCAAGTCAATGGGCTAAAATGCACCCTAGAAGGGCCCTTTCTAGTATTCCCTCTTTATGATCTAGCATAAAGATCTATAAATGGAATCTACTTTTTCAGAAAAGAATGTCTTCAAAATTCTCTTTCCACTCTCTTACTCTCTCTCTTCATTTGCTATATCCAGGGTATACATGAGAAAACCTCAAATTTCTTAATATCATCTTCAAATTTAAGTAGTCAAGAATAAAGAAGACATGTGAGGGCAACACATACCAGTATAGTCTGGACTTAATGAATTCTCTGCTCTTTTGCTCCTGAATCTATTGCCTCTGCCCTCTGCACCTGGGTTTTCCAGTTTAAGTTCAATCTTTAATATTCATACCAAATTAAAAAATACATTAAAGTCATTAAAAATCATATCAATGACTTTCAACTCATTAAGTGTCAATAATCAAGTATAAACTTTGACATGGGAAGTTCAAACTGAATGTTTAGTTAATTGAGATTTTTTTCAAATAGCATGAAATCAAATAGCATAACATAAAACAAGTTAATTTCTGGAGGACAGAAAAGCAATCACATCAGAATTTAATCTTACAATAAAATCCAAAAGAGGTAATAAGAATCGTTTACCTTTACAAATTGTGACACCATTTCCTGAATATCCCATGTTGCAATAGCAGGCTTCAACTCCGTCACGTATTTCACATTTTGCATTTGGGAGACAAGGTTTCTTGGTGCAATTTTGAGTATAGAAACAATTCAACAAAGTGGAGAAACCCACTAAATAAAAAAATAAATAAATAAATAAATAAACACCTTCTGAAAAAGAAAAAGAAAAATCTCCACCCATTGTTGAGTTAGAGTGCAATAAATACAAATACTCTTCTTTCTTTCTGTTTAGATAAATTATGAAAATTTCCCAAGGGAGCATTTAGCTAAATAGCACCACTACAGCAGGTAAGCAAACAGATTAAGGGATTTTTTTTTTCAATATCAACCTTTATCTAGTAAATGTCAACAAAGCTAAAATGTATAACCACCCAGCTTTATAATAAAAACTGTGTTCCCAGATCCAGGTACCACGTTGATCCAGTATCATCCTTCATTTTGAGGTGAACTACTTTTAGAGACAACTGTGTAATTATCAAGCAATTTCCTTCCTCTGGCAGTAATTTTGTGCAGAAATCAAGATAAACTGAATATTTAGATCTTTCCAAATTCAAATCAGTATTATTTTAAAATGATACCTGAACATCTATGAGGACAAACGCAATGGCTGTAGCTGTTTTCCACTGTGTTGTAGTGATAGTTTTTAATTCTGCCTTTTTCAAAACAAAATATCTTATACATTTTCTTCCATTAGGGGAAATTAAAGCAAAACTCAACATGCTGGTCAAAGAATGATCTTCCAGAAATGGAACACAACACAGACAAGACCAACAAAAATGAAACACAGAACAAGATGTTATTTCAGAGTTATTTAAAATAAAGTTGGAAATGATATTGTGTGGACTGTTAGGAAAAATTAAGAAAAAACATAGGAATTTCCTTTTTTAGTGTTATTCCAGGTCTTCTCAAGAGACGTCTTGGAGATCAACAGCTATAAATCATGCAAGTCACTGTTCTGAAAACAGTCATCTGAGATAAATTGTCCTTATCTGGTACCAAGATATTCTTAAACATTTTATTCTAAATCCCAGCCTCGCATAGGAGTGTGCATACTGTCTAAACCAGAATTAATTTCACCTTCAGAGATGTGATTTATCATCTTTCTGCACAGCATCATCAAAATGGTATTTTAAATGAACCCAAAGTCTGGGCTGGCAATCCCCTTAAAATGCCAGGAAACCTCCCACAGGTGTCAATGCTTTGGATTTCTCAAGTTTCTTGGGGGGAGGGGGGACAGAGGAAAGGTCAAAGTCTGACACTTTAGGGACTTCGTCAGGAGGAATGAAAAGCTAACAGTCCCCGAGCCTTGAATATCCCGAGTTGAAAGGCCAAGGAGAAAAACATCCTGAGAAGTACTGCGTCAGTTCTCCTTAGAGACTTTGCCAAATCCACTTGGCACGTGAACTTCTCCTTGTAAAATCCCGTTCCCTACAAATGATCGGGTCCTTCCAGCAACTTTGGTGACCAGGGACGCTGAGCACTCACCGAGGAGCGGGAGGAGTTTCATTGGCAGCGGCCGCGGTGGTGGCGGTGGCGGTGGCAGTGGCGAGGAGCGCGGCTGGGTGTGCGGGGCCGAGACGCGGCTGGGCGGGCGCGGCAGGGTCCCGGCTCCGTCCCCGGTGACGCACCGGCTTCCTCTGGACACTTTCCGGCCTCTTTGTGTGAGTGTGTGTGTGTGTTAAGCCCTGAGTCTGCTGGCCACGTCCGGCCTCCAGCCCGTGTCCCCAAGCCACCCGCGCTCCTTCCCCTGCTTCGTGACTACCACGCTGATCACTATTGCAGACCCTGTGCAGGATCACTTTGCCCCCGGGCGCCGCTCCCAGAAGACCACCCTCCAAGCCAGTGCCAGAAAGTCAAAGCTCTCTAGAGACCATAGGGTGGCCATCCTAATGAAGCGTCCGGAACTCAGTAGGTTTTAAGGATCCTCCTCCCTGCCACCTAAATTCCAGGACGCTTGCCCTCCCCCCTCCCCCTCCCCCTTTTTCCTAAAGAACAAGGGACCAAGAAGTAGGCAGGAGACTTGGGTCCACGCAATGGGACATTGCCGGTACTCAGTGCTCAGCTTGCTGGGACTCAAGGTTCCAGGGTGTAAAATACAGACATAGTCTATCTTGCCTACAGGTTAGGATTGTACTTAAAATGACCGAGTGGAAAATAAACCAGCAAACAAAAAACAAAAAGCCAAGTTTCAAGAATTGAACAGCTATGGAAGTACAAAATGTTGTTTTCCATTTTTAACTGAATAGTAATAATAAAAATACCCACCTGTATTCCCTCCCTCCACCCCCAGAACAATTGGTGCATCATGTATGGTTTTCCTTTTGCATGTTAATATATGAGTTGATTATGTAGAAACAGGTAATTCAGGTTGGAACATAGAAATGATTCTAGCTTAAAAAAATTAAAAATAACTGGCAGGCAAAACTAATCTATAATGACAGAAAACAGATCGATGGTTGCCTACAGTTGAAACGGGGCTGGGATGTTGATTGCAGAAAGACACAAAGGAAAATTTGGGAGTAATGGCAATATTCAATAATTTCATCAGGATGATGAGTGCATGCATTTGTCAAAACTCATCAAACTGTATTCTCAAAATTGGTACATTTTATTGTTTGTAAGTTAAATAAAGTTTAAATAATTTTAAATAAAGTTGATTTAAAGAAAAAAATGACTAATGTTTGTGCCATCAGCATAAACCATTAAACATTTGGGCACGCGTTGTCACATTCCATTTCTATTCTGTTTCATGTAACAAGCATCTACTGGAAGTCTACGTTGTATAGAGAGCACCCTCACAGAGATGAACAGCTATGTCTCTGGACTCCAAGGAACTTACAACTAAAACCAGTCACAATGACACAAGTCACAAAGACACAAGTGCTTATGTATTGACACATTTACCTGACTCTCCACAGCATTTTTCTAGACCTTTTCCAGCTTTATTTAACGAGGGCAAGAAGTTCCTGAGACCGGTGTCACAATAAATGAGGCAATGAGGAACGAAGGTGTTGTGTGATTTGCCCAGGGTCACACAGCTAGTCTACGTGACTGGTCTTGATTCAAACCCAGGGTATTCTGCTCTCAGTTACTTTACTATATTCCTTCTATAGTGACACCACCCTCAAGAGATTGTTGCAAAAGAGGAGTTATCAGATCAAGACTGCCATTCAGGGCATCTGAAAAGGTGATTTGAACACCCTAAATGCCACAAAAAAAGTTTGGATTTTATTCTGTTGATAATTGTTTTTTTTTTCTTTTAAATATTTCTCTCTCTCTCTCTCTTTTAAGTAGAGAATGATTCAGTGGAAAAACTCAGACAGCAGTTCATCAAATGATGGATATTAAGGTGATATTAAAGGGAAGGCAGTGAGAATAGATTACAAATCGTCCAGGAAGTAGACGAAAAATGCATAAATAAGGGTAGGACTGGTAGGGATGGGGTGACAGGGAAAGATTCCAGAAAGAATTAGATAAAGACATACTGATGCCTGGTTGACTTAATTGAGGGACAGATTTGAGACAAAGAAGAGTGGAGATTTTCTACTTGTATGAGTGGGAGAGGTTGGAACCATTCACAAATATAGAAACAAATAGGTTGTGAAGTGGTTCTGAAGGGAAAAAAGAAATGAGCCCAGTTTTGTAATATGATATTGGAAGTACTCCAATGATTTGGCTCCATTTTGTGAAACTTCTCTAGTCATATGAAGTTAAGTTTCAATGTGCATACACAGAAACTAACTTCCAAAGGCATAAATATAGAAATACATTATTTTTTGAGATAAGCTCTAAATCAAAACACAGTACCTATTTTTAAAATTATTACCCTAAAATAATTTGCTTCATGTATTTGCCACACATACTTAATCTTTAGTTTTATCATAATAGAAGGACAGCCAAATCTTTTAAAATACTGTATTCTTCTTCTCTATACATTGTTTAAAAATTAGCAAAAATGAATTAAAACTAGAATTACAAAAATTCAAATAATCTTTCCTTTTGCATATACGTTCTTATTAAAAGATAAAAGTTTATTCATAGTTCTCTTCAAGAAAATGATACTATACATGAGAGCATAAAGTGTTTAATGATGCTTATAGTTTTAAGATCGCTCATTGTAAAAATAAAAATTACTTAAAAATGTATTACTCAAAGAAGTCTGTATTTTTTTTGGGGGGGGGGCTAGCCAGTAAGGGGATCTGAAACCTCGACCTTGGTGTTTTCAGCACCAAGCTCTAAACCAACTGAGCTAACCAGCTAGTTCTACGTCTATATTTTTTAAAGAAATAGGTATAAAATAATCGTGGTATAACTTTGGATCCCTTGTTTTTGCATTACGTAAAAAGAAACATTTAAAATTTTCAATCCAAAAAAGTTTTAATTATTAGTGAAAGAATTGCTTATTTTAAAGAAGTGTTCTTGAAGAACTGTTGAACTGTAAGTATAAAATTTATTCTCAATTTCCCCTTGGGTTCCATTGGGACATGTTTAGCTTCTGAAGATACAAAATAACTTAAAGCTTGATTTGGACCTAAGAATAACATGTGGAAGTTAAATCACTTTAAGCTACTACTTGATTATGGCTTTAATAGAATATACCAGTGTGAATACTCATCTTGCAATGGGAGACCTTATCAAATCCATGATTAGCTCTATCTTAGTGCCAAATTAAAAAGGATTTCCTCGTAAAGTTCTTGGACAGGTTGGAATTTGCTATGGAAAGTATTCACTGTGATGACATGAATTTAGCTCTAGCTTTTATCTTGAGTGGATTCCTTAATCTTCTTGGGGATCAGTTCACCCACTGTTAATTGGAAATAACAATACCTACCCTGCTAGATACAGTGAGTTTCTGAGGTAATTAATATACATGTTACAACTATCAGGTGTCTGTATCTTTAACACTCAACATATCTAAATATAGGAAATTAGTGCACAGTTGACAAGGTAAAGACTTTCTCCAAAGATGTATTTATTGTGCCCACATGGGCTGGCACTAGGAATGTAATGCTGTTTCTGGATGCCCATCCTGAGACTTTTGGGATAGTGACTAATTCCTCACCTAGGAGTTAATAAGGTGATTGGATTCTAAGTGTTTATCTAGCTCGGTGACTGTACCTCTAAATATTAAGTGTTTACTCACACATCATCTGACTTTTTTCAACTTATTGAACCTTTGTCACCAATTTATTAATTTAGTTAATTTCTCATTACTTCATATTATGTCTATTCCCATGGTACCCTCAATAGGATTACAATTTACCACGTAGAGTTTCCCACCATGGCTCAATTTTAGTCAAAATCAACCTTAACAATGTACAGTTGGCAAAAGTGCTGGAAAAAGGTAAAGAAAAAAAGAACACTGAGTTATGTATAAAGTCGGGAAGAGTAATCTGAGCGCAACATACTCAATGTTGATATTAAGAAAAGCTTTAGCAAAGCAGAACGGCACTCTTCAGTGTAGTGGGATTCCTGTGATGAGTAAGGACTGAGAATTCAGGAAGCGGTCTTGTCTGTTAATGGTCCTTAAATTGGTCTCTTAGAACTTGCGTGTGAGAAACATAGCTTATTTTTGTTGTTTTTTGTTGCTCCATGGCATCTCACACAGTGCCTGAGTTTATTTGTCCATTTTTGTGTTGCTATAACAGAATAGCTGAGACTAGGTAATTTATAAAGAGCAGAGGTTTATTTGGCTTGCGATTCTGGGACAGCTGCATCTGGTGCAGGGGTTGTGCGGTTGTGGGGGGTTGGGGGGAGAGAGAGACAGAGAGCGCTCTTGTGGGAACCACGGAGCAAGAATTCACTTCCCCCCATCCCCCACACCCGGGGTAAGGGATCAGATTTCCATATGAGATTTTGGGGGACAACACATCCAAACACATCCAAACTCTATCACTGAGTGTAAAAGGTATGGGATAAAAACAATGTGCTGACTGATTGAATGAATGAATGAATACGTTTCTAGAATAGTGCACAGTAAAATTTATCAAAAATGCAAATATTTATTTTTAACGATTAGCTGGAAATTGTTTGCCTCAGATGTCTTTTAGGTTTCCAGATAACTTTTATGCCACTGGGGATTTAGCAAAGGCCAATCTTTTAAATTTAATTGTAAAGAAAAAGCCAGCCAAATTAAGTTATCTGTACACCCAAACACCAGGAGGAATAGGCTATTTCTTTGTTCACCTAGTGTTAAACTTATGATCTAACCAGTCAGTATAGAGATGCTACAATGTTCAAATCTTGCTATCTGAAAATCTATCTTTATAATCTATGTGAAGTCTATTATTAAATGTCTGTCAACATTTTGTATCAAAAATAAATTATAATGTTTATGTTCTCATTTCCACTTAGGAATTTTTATCACAATTATAAAACTCAAGTTAATATTTAGAAAACATTTAAAAAATTGGGTTTCTAAAACTATGAATAGGAGCACTTGACTAGCTTTTCTGCTACTAATTTTTTCAGTGAAAGGGGGTACAAAAAGCATTTGGTAATTTTCAGTGTTGACTGGAAGGGAGGAGTCCAGAGTTCCTTCCCAGCCTGGTAATCAA